CCTCCATCATTTCCAAAAAAAGGTGCTTAACTTGGTTAAGTTACAAATGCTTACCTTTATTTCTAAGGCAATTAATCTCTTCTCCATCCCAGAAGTTTGGAATTGTGTAGTTACTACCCCCCAGTGGTGGGTAGAAGTAAATTCCTGCCAAGGTATAGTATTTTAAATTTTCTAGATTGGGAAAGAACAAATTATCTGCAGGATTTTCTATGTATGTAATGATGTCAACCATGAGTCAAGGCAGATTTTTTTCTTTTCTCTCTTTTTTTTCAAGGCACTTTTATTTCTTCATTTTCAAACTGTACACTTTTTACTTTTTTATTTCCCTATTGTATTGCCTAGGATCTCTAGGACAATTTGTTCTTGATCTTAGCAGAAAAGCATTCAATCTTTAGCCATTAAGCAAGATGTTAGCTGTAGATTTTTCATAGATGTCCTACATCAGACTGAGGAATTCCCCTACTTTTGCTAGTTTGCTGAGAGTTTTTACTTTCATAAATACTGATTTTTTTCATGTTATTTTTTATGCTTCCATTGGGACGATTACATACATTTTCTTTATACAGTTAATACTGTATATTATAATTATTGGTTTTTGAGTGTTAAACTAACCTTAACTTCTTAGGAAGTAAATCCCAATTTGTCATAGTATATTGTTCTTTTTACACATTGTTGGATATAATTTGTTGGTATTTTGTTAAGAATTTTTGCTCATGAGGAAATATTGGTCTACAGTTTTCTAATATCTTTGTCTGGTTTTGGTATCAAGGTAATGATTGTCTCATAAAATTCAGTTGAAAGGTGTTTTTTCCTCTTCTATTAGAGAGTTTGTATAGGATTTATATTATTTCTTTTTAAAATGTTTGATCAACAATGAGAAGGTTGGCTGAACCAGTTCAGAAGGTTTTCAGTTATGAATTCAATTTCTTTAATATTCAGATTTTCTATGTCTTATTTAAATGCTTTATTGTTTAAAGTATTACATAAGTCTCCTTTTCCCATTGACCTCTCCCTGGCCACTCCCACCCCCGCAGCACATGCCCTCACCCCTTACTGTCTGTATCCATTGGTTATGCTCATATGCATGTATACAAGTCTTTTGGTTGATCTTTTATTCCTCCCCCCACCTCCCCTGCCTTCCCTCTTAGGTTGGATGGTCTGTTCAGTGCTCCTGTCTCTGGATCTATTTTTGTTCATCAGTTTATGTTGTTCATTATATTCCACAAATGAGTGAGATCATGTGATATTTATCTTTCTCTGACTGGCTTATTTTGCTTAGCATAATGCTCTCTAGGTCCATTTCCTTGGGTCTTCAGGAACACAAACTGTTCTGTGGCTAAACTGTTTCTTTTTGAGAATGCATACCTTTCTTTAAAAAAAAAATCCATGTACTTGTAACACAGATATAAGTCACTATTTAAATTTAATTTTCAGTTTTTTTCTGCCTTCAGCTACTTTTTCTAAGGGCAAAATTGGTATCCCCCTAGTGTCTGTGTCCATTGGTTATGCTTATATGCATGCATATAAGTCCTCTGGTTGATCTCTTACCTGTCTCCCACCCTCCCCTGCCTTCCCTCTGAGGTTTGATGGTCTGTTCAATGCTTCTCTATCTCTGAATCTATTTTTGTTCATTAGTTTATGCTGTTCATTATATTCCATAAATGAGTGAGATCATGTGATATTTATCTTTCTCTGACTAGCTTATTTCACTTAGCATAATGCTCTCCAGGCCCATCCATGCTGTTGTGAATAGTAAGAGTTCTTTCTTTTTTACAGCAGGGTAGTATTCCATTGTGTAGATGTACCACTGTTTTTCAATCCACTCATCTGCTGATGGGTACTTAGGCTGTTTCCAAATCTTAGTTATTGTAAATTGTACTGCTATGAACATAGGGGTGCATATATCCTTCCTGATTGGTGTTTCTGATTCCTTGGGATATATTCCTAGAAGTGGGATTACTGGATCAAATGGGAGTTCCATTTTTAATTTTTTGAGGAAACTCCGTACTGGTTTCCACAGTGGCTGCACCAGTCTGCATTCCCACCAGCAGTGCACGAGGGCTCCTTTTTCTCCGCATGCTCTCCAGCACTTGTCGTTTGTTGATTTGTTGATGATAGCCATTCTGACAGGTATCTCATTGTCATTTTTATTTGCATCTCTGAGATGATTATCTATGTCTTCTTGAAGTAATTGTGTACATCAATGATCATTTCATTTAAGTTATTGATTTGTTGGCATTAAGTTACTAATAATATAGAGACATGGACTTTCAGTTTTCATTTGGTACCCTTCTGTACTCTGACTTTTTTGTAAAGTGTATATAGGATCCTGAAATTGGGGAATTTGGGGAAATTCCTAATATGCCATTAACCATGTCCAAACATGGATAACTTAGGGCCAAATTAATGTTAAATGATTAAATTTAAATTAACATTTTGTATTATTCAACAATTATTGCCTACTATGTGAAGGCCATTGGGTGCTGCAAAAGCAAAGTTCTTGCCCTTATGCAGCAGGACATATTTGAGGTATGAGGTACAACAAAAAGGTATAACAGAAGCAAGTGGAAGCATTAGAGAAAATTCATCTAAAAGTCCCAATAGCCCTAACTGGTTCAGCTCAGTGGATAGAGGGTCAGCCTGCCGACTCAAGGGTCCCGGGTTCGATTCCGGTCAAGGGCATGTACCTTGGTTGCGGGCACATCCCCAGTGGGGGGTGTGCAGGAGGCAGCTGATCGATGTTTCTCTCTCATTGATGTTTCTCACTCTCTATCCTTCTCCCTTCCTCTCTGTAAAAAATCAATAAAATATATATTTTTTAAAAAGTCCCAATAAAGTCATAGAAGAGTTATTATTTGAGCTGATATGTGACTGTATCAGTTTGCCAAATTGATGGGCTAGGGTAGAGTGTTTAAGGTAGAAGGCTTAATGCATGGAAAGAACATGGATGACTTAGGGACCCGGAGTAGTTGAGGATTACTGAAATTTTAAGTAAAATTTTGCTGAGTTTTGTTTGTTTTGTTTTAAATCTTGGATTTCTTCCTATGGCTTTAATATTGAGGTTTTATATATATGTATATTTAGTGCAAAGTATACAATGGTAATGGATATGCCATTAACCATGTCCAATCGATAGACATTCATTTTGTTTCTATTTTTTTCACTATTCCAATGTTGTAATAAATACTGTATATGCATTTTTGTGCACATAAGAATTTCTCTAAAATACCTCTTAGTGGTTTTGCTAAATGAAGGTAACATGCAATATTTTGATCAATTCTGATAAATTTTTCCTAAAAAATGTTGTAGTAATTAACATTCCTGCCAACAGTATCTGAGAGTAGCCAATTCTCCACAACCTTGCTTGGGATATATAATTCTTTTTTAATTTTAAGATATCACTTGTCTACCTAGTTGGATAAAAAGGGGCCACATGCTAACCTGCTAACTCAGGGAAGGCCTGCGTGGCAGCCTTGTAAACACAGATACTTAAAGTTAACCAAGGAAGGGGGGAGGGAAGGGGGAGAGTCAATAGGGGAGAAAGGAGACATATGTAAAACTTTAGACAATAACAAAATAAAGTTAACCACAAAGAATGGTCAGAAATTAAAACTTTTTTAAACTAAAAAGCAGTTTATGGTGGGTAGTCATGTCCTAGGCCAGTATCTTCCCTGACAAAGGTCAATCTTTACCTTCACTGAGCCTATTATCTTGTTGCGTCTACAAAACATATCGCTGGAATGTCAAAGTCGTTTTCCTTTTTCCGGACCCCCTCAAATCACAGGCACTGCTCTGGGGAGACCACAAATCCCCTCATTGTTATTAATTGCTGGGTGTTATAATTATCCTGCACCCACCTAAATAGAAGAAGTATATGTTTATCATTTTACTCTTTATCCACTCCCAGAGGTCCCCCTTCCTTGTTCTCCTGCATCCCTAATTTATCACCAGTGGATTTCACCCAACTCACATCTCCTTTTTTGATTGTAATGTATAAAACAAGATGCAAAACTGCCATTGAGATCCTGCTCCACGGCATTGTGGATGGTTTGGCTCAAATAAACTCACAAAAACTCTTCACAGGTTTGAATGTTCCTTACGTTGACACTAGATAACTTAGAGACAGATTAAGTGGTGAAGTTTACTGCTTTTATGGTCAGCCAGACTTGACTTCTATCTTGGTTTCGCCATTTGCTGTGTGCTAATTCAATCACTTTAAGTGATACTGTTGTGGCAAGTTCACACTTGGAGTCTATAGGAACATATTCACAGAGAGATTCAGTAGGCTTTTTATCATTCTAACAGAACTGGGGACCAATAGCAGCCACTAAATAGTTCATTATGCTTCCTGAATGTGTCAGGGGTTGGGTTGATCCCACGTTAAAAGTTTAACAGGGTCAAATTTCCCAAAAAGATAACGAGAACACACAACTGAAAGTATGGCATACTATTTCAACAGATTCTGTTGCGGAGAATAAGACAGAAAAAAACAAAAGGGTGCTATTTGTAATTAATCGGGCTGGGCATTTTTAACGTTTAGATTCCGACGGGTTAAAATCCACCAAGTCCAGGACTGGATCATGCAATATTCTGTCGGTTGGGGATTATCGACGGGCGGATTTCTGCCAGGAAACTACGGTCAAGAAGTGACTCTTGGAAGAAAAACACAAGCAGGTCCTCGTCCTTCCCAAGCATCGCGGGTACCGGCCGGAAGCAAGATGGCGCCTTCCCTCACCGACTGAGCCCCTAAACGTGAGTCACGCACGTAGGGGAGGCAGTAGGAGGGCATCTTTGCTGTTACCTAAGACGGTGAGCCGCGCAGCTTCACCGTTTCCAGGTCTCCATAGGGCTTCCCAACCCGCGCCACCAGAGGTTAACCTCCGGAACCAAGGTACACTGGAGCGGAAGTGGCGTAAGAACCTGGCTACAGAACTTGGCTGGAGAACCTAGACAGAACATGGCAGGAGAACCTGGATAGAACCTGGCGACTGAACCTGGCGATGGCGGCGGAGGTGGAGTACGAGTCCGTGCTGTGTGTGAAGCCCGACGTCAGCGTCTACCGGATTCCGCCGCGGGCCTCCAATCGCGGTTACAGGTAGGAATCGGGGCACGACGGCCCGCGCGTACCCGGTCGGGAGCCACAGCGTCCTCCTCCGGTAGCACGCCGCTCGCCCAGGCCACTACCCACCTCTGGGCTGTCACCTTGCTCGCCCCCCCATCGGGGCCGTTATCACCCTGTGCTCCCTCCCTCCCCCCGCTCTCGACTGTCATCGTCTTTGTTTACGCCGCTTAGAAACATCTTCCCATCCCGCACGCGCCCATCCCTCCTCCCCCGGGCCCGTCAGGGTTCCCCGTCTGCTCCCCATCATCCCCCTCTAGTGCCGCCTGCTCCTTCGCCAGTCACCCTCCGTTCGCTCTTCCCTGCGCCCTTCAGTTTGTCACCCTCATCCCCCCCACCCCCATTTCCAATCCTCCGTGCACACGTGTGGATAGCCATTGCGTTCTTGATCACTCCCTGTAAGATCCAGTTCATCTTTTGGGCAGTTGTCCGTCTTGCCACCAGATATCATCATCATCCACCGATTGGTTTTCCTTCCAGATCTCTTGCCGGTGGGCACAGGTTATGACATAGGTTTTCCAGTGGTTGTCCATTTTGTTGCTTTTCAGTATCTTTTGTTGATGTGTATACAGTATTTTCTATCATCATCATCCCCTTCCCCC